CAGGAGGGAGGGGTGGGGTCAGGTTGGCACCCTCTGCCCCCCCCAGCGCCCCCCCCCCCAATATTTTCCAGTGCCGCTTATGATTATTGGGAACAGCCAGGATTAAATTATTCCCAGAAGAGTTTCTCCTGGGATAGCAAATGTCTGTACATGCCTTAGTTTCTCTCAAAAGAAAACATCCCCCTACACCCCTAGGGGGACAGTATGTCACCTTTGGCCTCTGCTGCTCCAGCAAGAAACACAACATACCCCTTTAACAATCCCCATGTGCTGCAGGGAAACACAGACTGACTGTGGGCAGCCCTATGCCCTACTGCCATCAGTTGCCAGGATGATAGAGGGAGCCTGCAGAGCATGCGGAAATGTGTTTACTGTTCCCCCCTTCCCCCCCAACCTGGCTGCACAGTGATAGCACTGCAAGCTTTCTGCTTTTCAGGGCCTTAGTATTCAAATGTCTGTACCCATAGCTCTAGATAAATTATTGTCTTAGTAGAAAAAACCTTAGAGAATTCTCCCAGATTATTTGAAAATGTGTACACAGCCCTAGATTTTGAAAGGCTGCGGGATCTACATGCTTATCATGTGAGTGAACTGAATCCCTGAACACACCTTTCAAAGGTTACCTGGACACAAGAAAGAAATTGGTTTGTACGTAGCTTCTGTTTCTTTGACACAAAAAGAAGGCATGAAAGATTTCTTCTGCTCTAACTCCTACGCTTATCGTACTTAATTCCCTTTTCCTCAGAAAACTTTCTGACCAAGTGGATCCTTATTCAAAGACTTTGGTTAACTTTAGTAGAATTTGAAGAGGGTGCCTGGATTGCTTCTGGTATTATTACAGTTATTAAGGGCATCTCACTGTTAAACTTGATAAACTGTGAGGAGGACTAAAATCTTCAGTAGCTGGCAACAGGAAAAAGGGGGTAAGTTGGGGCAATGTTAACCCCCATAGGTGCTGACCATGCTGATGCAGTGGCTCTGGAAACTGTGGTGAGAAGATTCACAGCCTGAATCCAGAGGTGGGTCATCTGACCCATAGGGATCCTGCAGGCTAGATATCCCACCCCTGGTGGTGGCCTGTGTCATGGCTGCTGGTAGAGAATGTCATTTGAATTTGACACCCCTGCTTCAGCATGTGCACTCCTTACAACATTGGCATACGTATTTCTGACGGCAGGAGTAAAACTCATCTCTTCAGCAGTTTGAGGGTGAGATTATACATTACAATTAAATTATGTTAAGAACACTTAAAACTTGAATGATTACACATTAAGGCTCATTAACTAGTGCTAAGTGCCCATTGGGTATCTTGAAGTTATGCTACTTTGGGCAAGGATTATATATGAACTGGACTACCTTGCTTGAGTTAAATTAATTTTTGAGAGTTCACCTAAGATAAAACCAGCAATTTGCAGTTCTCCAGTATCACATGAGGCACTGCGCCCAGGTGGACTAGCTGTCATTCAGGATTCTATGGCCCTGGACTGACAGCTGGGAACAGCTGGACAGTAGGTGCATGGGGATGGGATGTGGTATGGGGGAAGAGCAGGAATGGAGGGGGGAAGGGGAGAGTGGGTGGGAAGCTGCTGCCCCTTCTGACCCCCAAATCACCCCCTCTACCTCCAGATTGCTCCCGTGCCACCCCAATTGCCCCTTTTGGCCCTATTAATTCCTCCACCCTCAGATCACTGTCCTGCTTCCCCAGTCAGCCTGAGATTGGGGGGCGGGTCCCTCCCTGCCTGATCTTGGGGTCCCCACAGACCACACTGCCCCAGCACACCCAAATCCGGGCCCTTCAACTGAAGGGGAGGAAGGGGAGAAAGTGGGGGTGGAGGGCACTATTTGGGCACTTGAATCCAGTGGGGTTTGGATTCAGGTGCATGGAACTGGCATAGGCTGCAGGGAGCCTGGGTGCATGCTGGGAGAGGGCATCCCCCTCTGTTCTTGATGTTCATCTTGAGCTGATCAGGGTGGCAGGAAAGAAAACCAGGGTGCAGAGGGGATCTAGGGCTGATGTGGGGCAGCAGGATGATTTCAGCTATGGAGGGGGTGATTCAGGTGACTTATGGGGACTTCCCCCCTCTTCCACAGCCTATACTGTGGTTAGAGAGCTGGTGTCCCAGGCAATCATGCAGAAGACTTGCAGCCTCTAGCCCCACCCTGCTCACCAGCTGTCTAGCAGCAAGTCTGAATAGTGCACATTAGACAGGGTATTAACCCCAAAAGTGGAACTGATCACTAGCATTATTTAACATAACCACAAACCAACGTTCCTTAGAAGTAGGTCTTACTAACTCTAATGTGTAATTTCATCCTGACAAGCACTTATTTTTAAGGGTGAGTATATACAATTCAAGTACGCTCACATAGGAACATCATGATAGAATGTGGCCTCTGAGAGTTTAGAGGGGTAAGGAGCAGGGTTTGCCCTGCAGCCTTAATTCTCCCTGTAGAGAATTGACAGTAGATATGATCAGGACTGTAACAGACCTAGCACAGAGGTTAGCGTGACACACTGAGTGGAAAATTCTAATATTTTACTTAATTTCCTCCCTCCCCTTGCCTCTCCAGAGCCAAGTTATTTTCCTGTTTATAGTAGACAAGAAAATGATATGCTGCTCAAGGACTTATGCAATGGGGTTCCTTAGCTGATCTCTAGTGTATGTTGTTGTACGTGTGCGGCAATACACACAAAAAAGTATAAGATCAATGAAATAATAGTTTAAAATGCTTTGACGTACATTTATACTCTTCTGCAGATGTAGACATTTTATAAGGTATGTTTGCTATCATTTTGTTGTTAGGTCAGTATTTCTAATTGTGGGCTAATTTGCTTCACTGAATGTTTTACCCTACAGAAGGAAGCTTTTAATATAATCAGAATTAGTCTACTCAGCAAAAGAACTGTTGGTGCAGAAAAGTGGAATGCTTAACTTATGAATTATGAAACAGTTTAAAGCATTGAAGGGAAAAGCAAGTAATGACAAGTCAAAGCATGTCTTAAAAATCACCAGTGTGTAGATTAAGAGGATTGTGTGTGTGAACACACATGCCACAGAACCCAGGGGTGATTGAAAGAAAAGATTCAGAATTACTTTGAATATGCATCTTGTTATTCAAGTTTCAATACCCAAGCATTTTTTTCTTTTTGTATTTAAATGAAAATTGCAGTGCAGTACCTAAGATTGGAATAACATTTTTTAATTGCAAAGACAAGTAAAATAGTTATCTAATAATCAAGTGTAAACAAATTGTTTTGACAGTCTTATAATACAGGGTGGGATCCAGATAATTAAGCCACTTCCTTTGCAAGAAATGCTGTTCCTACACCCACTAAAATCCAAGGTAGAACTCCCTTTCACTTCAGTGGCGTAGAATCAAACCATAAGTAAAAAAGTCTTTTTTTTAAGGATATTAATAAGACACTATAAAAAAACAGCTGATTAAACTGTACAGAAAGTGCAACATAAAGGAGCACAAAAGAGCTAGATGTAGTTTTTACATATAAGTACTTATTCAAATATCTCTATATAAAATAAAACTAAAAGAGAAATATCAATATATATGCCAGTTATCACCATGGATCCTGGTTTTCTCTGATAAAGAAAAATTCCCCAATTTTCAATTTAAAAAAGTAACCCAAAATCCACACTTTTGAAAATGTGGATTTTGGGTTACTTTTTTTAATCCGAAAAGTGGGGATTTTTTTTTATCAGAGAAAAGCAGGATCCCTGGTTATCACCCTGGAGTTTAGTGAACTCCTCCCTACTGCATTTTTGTCTGTCTCTGTCTTTATATTAGTGATTCTCAACCAGGATACCATGGCACTCTTTGGTGCCCTGAAATCCTTTTAAGGGTGTCAGGGGGGCCACACAGTGTCAGCATTATTATGTGTACAAACATGATTCACAATATAAACCCAGAGATTTCTACCTTGTTGTAGTCTCTGAATTTTTTGCAACAGAGGAATTGCTATATTACTTTTCTGTATTCAGAAAATGAGTGTAAACTAAGAGCTGGCATTTTCTGAGGGATGCCTTGGGTCTAAAAAAGTTGAGAACTACTGCTTTATAAACTAAGATATTGAGAGCAAGGACTGTATTTTCCTAAGTGTACCCACCTTTGTTTTCTATTTCAAAAGTACTAATCATGAACAGTTGATATTTTTCAAAATTTGTTTTTTCATAGAAACTTTGAATTTAACAGCTACTCAGCACTGTTTTGTTTTTATTTCTAGGTATAAGAAAACACATGAGACTTTGAGCCATGCAGGACAAAAGGCAACAGCTGCTATCAGCAATGTAGGAACAGTCATCAGCAAGAAATTTGGAGATATGAGGTATGTGGGAATTTGCTTCTCCTATGTTTTTATTTGGGGGGAAAGGGGAATAAAGGTGCATGAGTTTTTCTTTCTTATTTTAAATCATAGTGTTTAAAGGTTTCAATTGAATTGCTTCCAATACTGTTCAATGAGGTGATTTTATAGCGTATGTTTCTTAGCCTACAGGAAAGAATCTTTGTATATTAAGATGTATTTCTGTTCCAAGTCAAAGTAGAAAAGAAGGGTGTTTCAGCCTGAAATCCCTTCTGATTAACTTCACACGGTAGAGAAATATAGAAATAAGGAAAATCCAGCTAAATTTTCATTGCTCTGATTTTATTCACAAATGGAATTTTAAAGAAAGGTCTTGACGGGCACACTGCAGCCTTTTATTTAGTTGTGTAAGGATAACTAAGGTACTTCAGGCACTTTTATCTATTCAAGTAAATTGTGCTGGATGAAATACAAAAATGCAGCCAAACCATGAAGTCATTACACACTTTCACTAAACTTTTGTTTGGCAAATTCCCATTGACTTTCCTTTCCTGCTTCCTTACTTGCCTTCATTGTGTCTTATCTGTCTGCTATTGTCTCTGCTCCTTATCTATTTGTTTCAACCTACTAACATTTTTTAAAGTTTTAATGAGGTTCCTGCTTTTTGCGGTTTGTCCAGCCCGCTCTGTTGTGTAAGGCCTTCTAAGATAGGCTTATGCTGCATTTTATTCAGGCAGGTATAGTGTCTGTCCTTCCAGACCATCTCCATTATCATATCATTATATCTCTTCTACATCCTACAACCTAATAGCCTCAAGTGGCACAGCAGAACAGCTCCACAGCCCTAGGCAGGACTGGTGCCATGATCAATTATTGTAGCATCCCATGCCCTCCTCCCGCCAGTCTCCTCCTGGATGCTTCCCCTTGATTATACTATTCCATCCCTTACTTCCACACAGGTCTAGTAGGTCTTGTTGCAAGAAGATGACTGTAGCCTTCCAGAGAATTTAAGAATTACAAAAATATCTTGGACCTAGCCAGAGATAGAAGCCAGGTACACTTTGTCCCACTGTGATGCTAGGAATTTCCTCTTTCCAATTATATAAAACTCCTCATTCTAGTCATAAAGGAGCATGGGGTACCTACTCTACCACTTGTCTCTGGTCCACGGCTTAATATTGCCCATCTTGGAATTAATATGTCTATTGCCATTTATATTTTTTAAAAATAAAGGAATATAGAAATGAGATTTGCTTTGTCTTTGTTTTGCACTTGGCTCAGACAACATGTTACATAGACTTTATTTTCAGATTCACTGTCAAGCTTTCATGTGCTGGCTCATGTCTTCAAATTGTGGGTTGCAAACACTGTACAGAATGCTCAGTCAGAATTGTATAAATTAAAATGTAGATGCTGTGAAAGTGCCCATATTTTTATACACAACTTGTATATCTTGGGGTATATCTACATGGCAAAATGCTGTACTGTGCAGAACTGACTGAGCTAACACAAAAACGCAATCTCAGGCACCAGAAGTAAGACAGCTGTATTAACTTGGTACTATTCCAAGGCTAATATATTCTCTGTTCCAGCCTGCTAAAGTTTTCATAAGGAACCTGCTTTTACTTCCCATGAGACTCTTGGCTGCCACGGTGCCAATTGTGGAGGTGTGGCTAGCCACTGCTGTGGTCGTGACAACTTTTTTTGCATCCCACCACAACAAAGGCTGCTGCCCCAGGTGCCTCTGGGTGTCTCCCCTTAGTTATACTACTTCATCCCTTGCTCCACGCAGGTCTAATACAACTAATTAGCCCAGTCAGAGAGCTGCTGTAACATATCCAAGCTAGTTCAGCTCTCTCTGCTTGGCATTGTAGTACACCTTGTAGCTAAAAATATTACCTTCACTAGTAAAGGCATAACTAGCAATTTTGGTGCCCTGGGCAGAGATTCTGTTGAGCACCTCATGCTGTTATGTGCTCACAGAAACAACATTTCAGAAAACAGAATTAGAACACAAAATAATCCTAAAATATTGGAAAAATGATCTGAAATCAGCAAGCTGAAATCCAAGTGAGGACAATACAAAATATGGAAAAGAATAAATGCATAAACACAAAATTTGGAATAACTAGCTAGGTAGGAGGACTACGTAAAAGGATCAGGGGGGTCACACTTGGATTCAGCTGTAGGAACAAGGCCTCAGGAAATAACATTTCCATGACCCTGTTCCGCAGCTAAATCCATCTGACCTTTACTTAGTGTCTTTCCAAATCAGTCATTCACTGTCTTATAGGGAGGGCATCTCAGGTGGAGCTTCACAGGGATCTGTTCTAGGCTTTGTACTAGTCACTATTTTCATTAATAACTTGAACGTTGGCATAGGGTGCATTCACAAAACCAGCTGGAAGAGCCTGTCGATGCTTCAGCAGACAGAATTAGAAAACAAAATGATCCTGAAATATTGGGAGAATGATCTGAAGTCAACAAGCTGAAATCAGTGAAGATGGTACAAAATATCATACTGAAGGTGAAAAAGAATAAATGCATAAACACAAAATGGGGAATAGCTAGCTAGGTAGCGGGACTGCACAAAAGGATCTGGGGGTCATACTGAACATCATGCAACCAACATCATTCCAGGACATGAAAACAGAAGTGCCATATGTAAGAAATGGGAGGTAATTATTCTATTCTTTTCAACCTTCATATAAAGCCTCACATGGGAGTTCAGTTTTGGGCACCTTTTTAAGAAAGGGATAGAGAACTTGGACAATGTCCAGAGGAGAGCAAAGAAAGTGATAAGAAGTCACGAAAATAAAACTTGTGCATAAAGTTGAAAGAATTAGTGATGTTTAATCTAGAAATGATAGTTTAGTTATTAAGAAAAACGTTCTAACTAATAATAGTTAAACACTAGAACAGGTGAAATCCTCATCACAAGTTTTTTTAAGAACTAGTCAGACAAGGGTTTCTTATGGGTTAAGGGTTATTGTTGTTAAAGTTTTGGTCTTAGGGGTAACTAATCCTGTCTTGATATAGCGGGGAGTAATAGATCATCTCTGAAGGTCTCTTCCAGCCCTAGATTTTTTGCAATTTCTATGATTTCCAGAAAAGCTGAACACTGATTTGCAACTGAACTGAAGTGAACAGGAACTTCCCTTTGAACATAAAAATGTTCTATATAATGCTATTCTCTGAAATATTTTTGATTCTTGTTTTGAGACCTACAATTAGTGGAAAATTTTGAATTTGATACCTGAGCCTCAACTTCCCCTCTGTATTAGGGAGATAACAATACCACCTTTTAAAAACGTTCAGCTACCAAAAGGTCAGGCTATTTTGGTAATGCCCTATTGCACAGAAAATTGCTGAGTAGGTGATTGGAGGTGGCCTACACCAGGGAGACGTGTCCAAGTCCATGAAACTTGCCTCATGCTAACTATAGCATACTGAGAAAACATGTCAGTGGTCCCTGCACAACAAAAAAATTAACAGCACACCAAAATGTATGAACATATCCAAGATTTATTTCTTCATACACTCTGTTGTTGTTACCTGCCTTAGATTCATTTACCATAACAGTGAATGTTATCTTTACCCCTCCTGACTGTAGTAATGCTGGACTGCACTGCGAGCTCTATTGTTCTGCTCATCTGCAATATGTTCGGTGGTCCATGATACATTGTGGCTGTACCTCCTACTGCTGTTACCGATCACCTCTGTACTCAGGGTATTATCTGACCTCTGTCAGCTAGAGCTAAATTGTGCCATAAAAATATAGCCATAGTATCAGGTTGCTGCACCAGTCTGGAAGTATCTCTGGCAAAACTCTGCTTGTTCTTTAGTTTTTTCGCGAGGATGAAGTATCAGGCCCAGAGTTTGACTGTCCTTATGCATGTTCTTACTTCCCCTTTGTGGCCACGTTGTCTAGCCTGCAAATTAGCCTTTAGTTTCCACAGTTACCAGTGTTTATTGGTGGATAATACTGCTTGAATGTTTTCTTCAACACTCCCTCTACACATTACATCTGTTGTGCAATTATCTGGTTAGCTGCACAATTAAACTGAGACCAGCTATACATGCAAAGTGCATATCATACCATAAAAGGCTCCAACCATCTATTAAGTTAGAGCTCAAAAATGTTTACTAATTTTATAGCTAGTTGCTATTGAGCTTTAATTTGCACGTGTAGCAGGGTCTCCCTTGCAGCTGGGACTCAGAGTCCCACAGCTGAGGGGACTCTCAGCCCTCACAGCACTTGGCAGTTGTGACACCCTGAGTCCTGTGCGATCTCCCAGCCCTGGGGGACTCCGCACACCTCTGGGGCTGGGAGGCTGCAGTAGCTGCACTCTCCCAGTTGCAGGCTGCATACCAGACTCCCCACAGCTGGGAGATTGTAGCAGCTGTGATTTCCCAGCTGCGGGGGATGGAGGTCCACTCATCCCACAGCTGGGAGATTGCACCAGCTACACATGCATGACAGGAGGCGTGATTGTGGGATTGCACATTAGATCCCATTGCCAGTGAAGGGGGAGCATGATCCTGGCCTCCCTGTGCACTGGCAAGAAGCAATTCCCTGTGGCTGGAAGCACCCTCACCTAAAGGGGTTCCCAGCCACAGGGGCGCACCCCACAGCTGGGAGATAACAGCTGCTACGATCTCCCAGCCATGGGAGCATATGGTGTGACAACGCAACTGGGAGCCCCTTCAGCTGAGGACTCCTCCCAGTCATAGGAGCTTGCTTCTTCCCAGAGCAGGGGGAGCCCAGGATCAGACTTCCCCTGCACTGGCAATAAGGCACTATGGGATCTAATGCACAATCCCACAATCATGCCTCCTGCTGTGCATGTGTGACATGGCAGGAGGCATGATTATGTGGATCACGCATTAGATCCACATAATCATTAGATCCACGCATTAGAGACTTCACCTGCATGTGTGGAGGGGCCCCAAAGTACTTCATAGGGTTGCATTTAAGACGTTTCACTGTTGGAGTATAACAAATGATCCCTTTCCTTTTCAGTTGTATGTCATTATTTCAAACTGTGTATTGGGTTTTTAAGACCACTAAGAAGAAATTGCCAGGCATTCCCTCTTCCAACTGAAAATTCATTATATACAGCATGGCATATCCCAGTTGTAAGCCTACATGTCAGACAAACGTTATGCAAGAGATTAGAAGGCTTATAGCAGTTTATGGAGCTTTCTTTCCATCCTCTCCCTCTCCCCCCTCCTCATCTTATTTGTATTGGAGAATTAAACATCTTTTTTCTGAAACAAGGACAAATATGGATTGGGTTTTAGTTTAAGTGTGTGACTGTTCCTCTCATTTAAACAAACTTATTTCTGTTTATCATATTGTCTTTAAATATAATCCATTACTGGTTGTGTAGCAGGTTATGTGCTAAATAAGAATCTTCCATTGTTACGTAGGAAAAACTATTCACTCAGGCTGTCAAGGAAAGATGGCAATAAATCTTGAGCAAAAGAAGGAAAAAGTGGAAGAATGTATATGTTACTTGACTTTAAGTACCAAAAGTACTGAAAGCTATAGCTAAAGTTGGCCGGAAATCTTCTAAATGAATTTCCAGTAGGCAATTGGGTTTAATTGGCATTTACTTTTTTATGTTCTAAGATTTTTTTTTTCTAAGTGAGATAATTGTTGAGGGGATTTTTTTAAAATTGTTTTGGAACAAATAAAAGTTTTTCTTTCCCAATATTTTTCTGTGTTTGAACCTTTACCAGTTGGAAAATAGACTATGTTTGAAATACTTAGGGAAAAAACTCATTTTTCTGTAGCCAGTTAATGTTTTGCAACTTTTGTCAATTGGGAAGCAGTATCAGTGTTGAAAGTACTAATGCTTGAGCAAGAAAGGGTTACTTTTAAAGGTAAAAACTGTTTTTAACCTCTTTTCCCTCCATTTTCTTACTGTTTCTATGTAATTTTTTTCCAATTAAGGGCTGGTAACAAACCAAAATGGAGAATTGCTAATGATTTACAGCCATCCCCCTCTAGAGAAAGGGTGATATATGGACAGCAATGTCTCCAAGACATACTGCCTCTTGGGCTACTCCTGGAATGACATAGCTTCATGCTAACCTTTGCCTAGGATTGTGACCAATCTAATTCTGTTTCAGTATGGATGAGCTAAGTGTGTGAGAGAGCATAAATCTTTTTTTTTAGAAAGCTCTGATTGCAATAACAAGGAATGTGAGGAGTGCCACAAATAAGGTGGGTGGGATGAAGATTGTGCAACTGCTCCCTTTATTTGGGTATAGATCAGTCATCTGGAGAACAGAATACTAAATTGCCCTTTTGAAATAAAGGCTTGATTCCAAAAGTCCATGTGAGGTACACAACAAGAGGCATGAGCAATTTTACAAGTGTAAAATTAAACATTGGACGCAATGTGAACGGAGGCCCTTGCAAGCACATTTCCTTACTCTAGTACAGTTTAGGATTTAGAGACTTCTCCCATTTCTATAATCTTTCAACACATGGCAGTGGCTGCTGGCTCAGAAAATGCATGTGTGCTAAAAATGCATCGCTCCTTATTAATATTTCTTTTTAGTTAATATTTCTAAGTATAAGCGATTGAGGCCTGATCCTGCAAGTTCTAATTCATATGCACTGGGTAGTGCCTTTGATTTTAGATCAGAGCCCAGATCATTATTAATCATTTAAATGTGTTGTGCCCTGCTTCTTAGTCTCTGCCTTATTTGAAACCTCACTAATTAGTACAATGTACTTGTTGTTCTACCAACATCATAAACAAAACCAGTACCTCCACCTTATCTTTGTAAAAATTGTTTTCTGTGTCGGCTGTGTGTTGTTCTATGCTCTTACTGAACCAGGCAACATCGACTGAAACTGTGATCTAATACAGCTGAAGTAATCTGAGCCTACGCAAGGTTTAATGGACTAATACCTCATTTTCTGCTGCACATGAAAATGTGTAGGTGATTTTATATAACAAACCAATAAGTGAAAATTATTGAAAGAAGTTATGTTTTGCCTCGAAGGAGTCTCAACATGATCTTCTGGTGGGAATTCAAGGATGGAAATTTTGAAGCATATGATTGTATATCTTTTTCTTCTAAGGACACTTTTGGTACTTTTTTATGGGCACAAATTTGGGGTGGTTTTTTATTTTGTTTTGTTTTGCTTCTTGGCTTACGTTTGTTTAGGGTAACTTGTAACACTTGCTGTTTTTCCCTTGTGCTGCCACCACAGATCACATTCACTTGGGTAAGATGCCCGTTTCTCTTAAATGCCACCGCTGTTTTTGCTTTGGTTTATATCTCACAACATAGTGCTGTCTTTCTTTCCAACATTGTTATTCAAGATAAATAAATGCATTCCATTTGATCCACAAGTCAAGCTGAGCTGCTTTCCATTGAGAATTTCAAAATTGTGGAGGACAGAGACGAGAGGGGGAAAGAAGGGTTGCCCTTGATTGAAAACAAATTGAAGAATCTTGAAATACTGTATTAAACAGAGTTGGTATTCTCTTCCCAGCTCTCTTCATCTTCTCAGACAGCCAAGCTCTGGCAGCCTTATAGGCACCTATAGAAACCGAGAACTCAGGTTTCTGAGTTACTGTTAACAGAAGACCCCCTCACCATCCTGAAAGGCTGTAGCTTCTCATTTCCTATTGTAGCAGTTCAGTTATTTAAAGTAATCAGTAATGTACTCTAGGGATTTTTTCTCATGAAATAAAAGACAATAGCCAAAAGACAATAGCCTGCCTATGAGAAGCTCAACACACGTACTGTACTCTGTGCAGCTAGAATCCATCGTGTGACCCTTCTCAATGAATCCTGAGTTAATGTAATTTTGGCTGACAATATTCTCTTTGCTTAGAGCTTCTTTTTGGTACTGTTTTGTGGTTTGAAGACCAGCATCTCATGTTCAATGACTCAACCTTGTTTTCTACTATTTTGCTATGTGGAAGAACTAGGTGAAAAATTG